CACTTTGGGAGGCTGAGGCAGGTGGATCACCTGAGGTCAGGAGTTCCAGACCAGCCTGGCTAACATGTCGAAACCCTGTCTCTATTAAAAATACAAAAAATTCACTGGGCATGGTGGCGGATGCCTGTAATTCCAGCTACTTGGGAGGCTGAAGCAGGAAGAATCTCTTGAACCTGGGAGGTAGAGGTTGCAGTGAGCTGAAATGGCACCATTGCATTCCAGCCTGGGCAACAGAGTGAGACTCTGTCACCAAAAAATTAAAATAATAAAAAATAAAAGAACTATGTTTAGCTTTTATTCAATTGAAGAATAAAATTTTTCCTTTAAGCAAATCTGCAAAGGGCTTTACACCACAGTCATATGTTTATCATATTGATATATCCATTGGGTGCATGCAAATCTGAAGGTACTTAATTTCTGAGTGAGCAATTGCTACCTGGTTGTCATGCTAATGACTATTAAATAATTATATAAGTCATGATGATAAGCAATTTACACACAGATTGTTTTCTCTTTTTTGGGGGGTCATTTTTCTTTTGGGAGTCATTACAGGCAGTGGCTCACGCCTGTAATCCCAGCACTTTGGGAGGCCAAGGCAGGCGGATCACAAGGTCAGGAGTTCAAGACCAGCCTGACCAATATGGTGAAAACCCGTCTCTACTAAAAATACAAAAATTAGGTGGGCGTGGTGGCACGAGACTAGTCCCATCTACTCATCTACTTGGGAGGCTGAGGCAGGACAATCGCTTGAAATTGGGAGGCACAGAGGTTGCAGTGAGCCAAGATCACGCCACTGCACTCCAGCCTGGGTGAAAGAGTGGGACTCTGTCTCAAAAAAAAAAAAAAAAAAAAAGGAGTCATTGTTCCTCTGTTTTAGTTTTCCCTTCCCACATTGATGTTATAGATGTCAGCGACTCTGTACTTGTATTTACTACTGCAGATTGTGTGATTCTTCTACTTGCTTGTTTTAGAGATATCTTGGGTCTGGATGCAAGCATTTAGTACCTTGGAGTATTACAATCTTTTAGCTTATTTAATCTTTAAGCTTGCTTTGGGGGAAGGGAAGTTTTTCTTTTTTTGTTTTGTTTTGTTTTTTGAGGCGGGGTCTTGCTCTGTGATTCTCCTGCCTCAGCCTCCCAAGTAGCTGGGACTACAGGTGTGCACTACCACACCCAGCTAATTTTATACTTGGTATTAGGTGAGAAGGCATACATTTTCTGGAACACTGAGCAATAATTAATATTGTGTGCGTGCGTGTGTGTGTGTGTGTGTGAGAGAGAGAGATTAAATTATTTGAGCTATAGCTTCAAGATTCCAAGACATTTTGATATCAAATATTAACAATAAACAAATTGCAAGCCAGGTTTTTTAGTGACATTTGGTTATTACATGTTTAAATTAATTTGATATATATGACAGCATAAGTCACTTATGTAGTATGAATACACACACATGCATACACATATCTTTTCATTATGAAATTTTAAAATAGCACTCCAAAAGATCAACATTAACTGGCTAATGCAGTCCATAGATTGGAAAGGAATGAAGCTTTCATTAATGGCTTGCATTTACACTTCAGTTGATACTGAGAGGTTTTAATTTCTGACCTAGATACTTCAAGAAGCTTGCTTTTGGGAAAAATAATAGGTAGTTAGACAACAACCACAGCCCTTGTCCTAATTAAAACCGCTTAATGTTTCATTTTGATTTCCATCGTCTTGAAATTGTATCACTAGGTTAAGAAAATAGTTTTCTGGGTTAAATCAGAATTTAATTGCATAGTTAGGAAATGCCTGGCATAAATTCATTGCATTTCACATCAACCAAAATATTTTAGATTTCATTGCAACCCTAATACATTGGGGTCCCAAAGGTTTCAGTTGGCATTCAAGAAACACAGTGCAATAGCCAATCTCATTTCTTCCCCTAAATTAAAAGAGAAATCTGTTCTTTACTTGTATTTCTCAAAGGACATAAACAAGGATCCAAATCATAACCATTATATCCTTTTCTCCCCTTTCCCCAATACTTCCATACTTTCTTATATCCCAAGCCCTGCATGGCTTCTACTTTCTCTTTCCACCTCCCTCTCTCAGAACTCTTTGTGAGCCACTTTAACTCTTTTCATATATTTTCCTCCTCTTTTTGTGTCAATATGAGAGATGAAAGGGAGAGGAGAGTGGGCCTTGGAATTACAGAATGGTGCCCTTAGGGGGATTATGTAACTATTTTAACTTTCATAATTTTTATCTTGTTGCCTGTGGCATTAAAGAGTTTTAAATCTGGCTTGCTTCAATGATATTGATTAAAATACAAAGTAATTGGTGCATAACTGTTCATAACTGAATGTTCTGGAGACAGTAAGGTTGGGCATTTTATCATGAACGTGGTTTTATTCCTGGAAGTGGTGTCAGTACTATCAGGCTACTCCATGCTGTGCCCATTAGGGTAATGAGGCCGTTCAGGCTTTGTGTCTCCATATTTTTTTCAGCCTTTGTGAATGGCGACAGAAGGATTTATCAGTGACGATTAGGGTGGTGCCCGGCATTCAAACTGCTCCACAATCTGGCACTAGTTTCAGTTTCTTGCCTTGTCTCTGCCATGTTTCACATCCCAGTACATTATTTATTTCTCTATTAATAGATAAAATTGCCTCGAATTATGGATATTCATGTACATACCCTCTCTGCCTTAATGGATGAGCAGCTCTGCAGTGCATTACACATAGTGTAGGCTGAATAAATGACTGTCGGATTTACTTGAACTGCTTACCTTGTCATAGACTCTCAATCTTTCAGGTACATTGTGAGTTTGTTTTGTTCGATTGCTGGCAGGGTAGCTGAACTTGATACATATATTTGAATGAGAAATATAGCAGCAGTACAGCTAATATCATTAGAATTTGGGGAATCTTCTTTCTACTAAACTCAGCAAATATTTCCTGAACAAAGATGATGTAAAAGACACTGAAGAAAAGAATGACTCAGCCATTGGCCAAGCGTGGTGTCTCATGCCTGTAATCCCAGCACTTTGGGAGACCGAGGCAGGTGGATCACCTGAAGTCAGGAGTTTGAGACCAGCCTTGACAACATGGAGAAACTGTCTCTATTAAAAAAAAAAAAAGACTCAGCCATCATCATTAGGATTCATATTGTCTTTGTACAATTTAATTTGCATGGAATATAAAATGAAACTGAGAAAAGCCATCATTTGCTGGCCTGTTAATATCTATGAGTATAAATCCTTATGGGCTGGGCTTGGTGGCTCACGCTGTAGTCCCAGCACTTTGGGAGGCAGAGGCAGGCAGATCACGAGGTCAGGAGTTTAAGACCAGCCTGGCTAATACAGTGAAACCCAGTCTCTACTAAAAATACAAAAATTAGCCAGACGTGGGTCACATGCCTGTAGTCTCAGCTACTCGGAAGGCTGAGGCAGAAGAATTGCTTCAACCTGGGAGGTGGAGGCTGCAGTGAGCCAAGATCATGCCACTGCACTCCAGCCTTGGTGACAGAGCAAGAATCTATCTCAAAAAAAAAAAAAAAAAAATCCATATGTATATGCGGAGTTTTTCCACTCATTCATCACTTAGTCCTTCATTGGCAATGTTGGAGCCCAGGGGTTCAGGGGAGCCCTCAGCTTCCCTGAGAGGACGTTTCTCCAGGTTCTTGATCTATCACTCTCTAAAGAATGAGGGAGGAGGCCACGCGCAGTGCGCTTGTGAAATAAATAACAGACTCCCAAAAGTGTTGCAGTAAAGTGATTGATTTATTTACGTACAGAGAGAAAAAGGAGGAGGAGAGTGAAAGAAACAGTCAGCTCTCACACTGAATGAGAGAAAGAAAAGCCGCTCCTCACATTGAGTTTGATGGGTTCCCAGAGGAAGAAAACCAGAGAAGTAAAACTCCCCTCACACTGAGTGAGAGAATCCAGAAAGATGGAATCCAGGAGAGGAAAGACAGCTTCCATGAAGGTGGAAGGGGACCCCAGAGGAGAAATCCAGGAGGGGAAAGAGAGCTGGAAATCTGGCATGGGTGAAGGAGCAGGGGAATTTATCCTGGGGAAATTCCCACCTCCCCAAGTTCCTCTGGCTAGTGAAAGGAGTTCCTTTAAGCTTCCGCTGGGGTGATTGAATCTTAGTTTTTTCCGTTAAATCTCCCAGATGGGAGGGGTGCATGGCCCTGGGAAGTTCTTGCCCTTAAAACTATGCCCCCTTGTGGACCCGGAAAGAGAACACATTCCCTCAGCAATATTGTCTGGGGATTACCATAAAATTATAAACAAAAGTATATAATTAATGCTTGGAAGAGGAATAAAAGGTAAACATTCCTTAGATTCTTACTGTTGAGGAAAACCAGGCCAGCTACTCAAGTGATGAACCCTTATGACATCAAACCAAAACTGCTGCTGAGTCTTTTGCCCCAGAATGTTTGAGCTCTGTAGCCAGGAAACTCACTGGTAACCACTGACATACTGAAACTCCTCTTGGGTGGGTTCTCTTAGTTTTTCCATGTTCTTGGCCTAACTTCTTTATATTCCTTGACCAAAATTTCTGTATTCTGAAATATTCTCCAATGGTGATCTAAATTGTGTTCCATGAACTAATACACATTTTGCATAATACAGTGGTTCCAGTAGGTAGCACTGTAGCTATCCTAGTAGTATAGTAAGGTAGTAGTATATTAACGTAGCAGTGGAAGTACAGTAAAACAGTAATAAAGATGTAGTTAGGTAGTAGCAGTGTGGTATGGTAGTGGTATTGTTACAGAATAATAGCAATGGGGTAGTTAGGTAGGAGTAGAAGTGTATTAAAAATAGAAAAATGGGAATTTAAAAAATAAATAAACAAAAATCCCCAAAAAACCCCACACATACACAAAAAAGAACAGAAAATAAATTTAAAAAATTAAAAAAAGAAAAATGGAGCGGTCTGGGCAGCCCGGCGCCCGCCATGACGTCACCTCCCCGTGCCGGAGGACGGCCCCGCCCCGTCTCGTCCCCCGTGGCTGCGAGCGGCGCTCTCGGAGGACGACTAGGCGCGCGAACTGCGGGTGTTGCTGCCGTGGGGCCGTCGACTACGGCCTCTGCTGTGGGCGCCGGCGCTGGCGACCGCCCGGGAAGGAAAACCAATTCTGTGTCCACGGAGGACCACAGCCCAGTTCTGTCCCAGACGAAACACGGCCTGGAGTTTCCAGGCAGGACAGCCATTCAGCACGCAGACCAACGAGGACAAGGAGGAACCCCTGCACTTGATCTTCAGCAGCACAGAGCGCGTGCAGGGTTCTACTTCCAAACATGAGTTCCAGGTCGAGACAGAAGCTTTTGGACATCGTTGCCCGGTCATTGCACTCAGAAAAAGAGGTGTTTATATGGGAGCTGGTCTCCAGTGCCAGCCATGACTTGGAAAAACTGCGTCACAAACTGGTGTCTGATGGCCAGGCACTGCCAGAAATGGAGATTTACTTGCAGACGGATGCCGAGAAAGGCACCATCACCGTCCAGGATACTGGCATCGGGATGACACAGGAAGAGCTGGTGTCCAACTTGGGGACGATCGCCAGCAGCAAGATCATTGGCCAGTTTGGAGTGGGTTTCTACTCGACCTTCATGGGGGCTGGCAGAGTGGAGGTCTATTCCCGCTCGGCATCCCCGGGGAGCCCAGGTTACCAGTGGCTTTCAGACGGCTCCAGAGTGTGTGAAATTGCGGAAGCTTCGGGAGTTAGAACTGGGACGAAAATCATCATCCACCTGAAATCCGACTGCAGGGAGTTTGCCAGTGAGGCCCAGGTGCGAGATGTGGTGACGAAGTACAGCAACTTCGTCAGCTTCCCCTTGTACCTGAATGGAAGGCGGATGAACACCTTGCAGGCCATCTGGATGATGGACCCCAAGGACATCGGCGAGTGGCAGCATGAAGAGTTCTACGGTTACATTGCGCAGGCCTATGAGAAGCCCTGCTACACCCTGCACTATAAGATGGTTGCGCCGCTCAACAGCCGCAGCATCTTCAACGTGCCGGACACGAAACCGTCCGCGTTTGACGTGAGCCAGGAGTTGGGCTCCGGCGTCGCACTGTACAGCCTCAAAGTCCTTATCCAGACCAAGGCCACAGACATTCTGCCCAAGTGGCTGTGCTTCATCCGAGGTGTGGTGGACAGTGAGGACATTCCCCTGAGCCTCAGCTGGGAGCTGCTGCAGGAGAGTGCACTCATTAGAAAACTCCGGGATGTTTTACAGCAGAGGCTGATCAAATTTCTCGTTGACCAGAGTAAAAAAGACGCTGAGAAATATGCAAAGTTTTTTGAAGTTACGGCCTGTTCATGCGGGAGGGCATTGTGACCACGGCCGAGCAGGAGGTCAAGGAGGACATAGCAAAGCTGCTGTGCTACTAGTCCTCCGCGCTGCCGGCTGGGCAGCTAACCAGCCTCTTGGAATATGCCAACAGCATGCGGGCTGGCACCCGCAACATCTATTACTTGTGTGCCTCCAACCGGCACCTGGCAGAGCACTCGGCCTACTACAAGGCCATAAAGCAGAAAGACACAGAGGTTCTCTTCTGCTATGAGCAGTGATGAGCTCACCCTGCTGCACCTTCGTGAGTTTGACAAGAAGAAGCTGATCTCCGTGGAGACAGACATCATTGTGGATCACTACAAGGAGTGGAAGTTTAAGGACGGGTCCCCAGCTACTGAGCGCCTGTCAGAGAAGGAGACGGAAGACCTCATGGCCTGAATGAGAAACGTGCTGGGGTCGCGTGTCACCAACGTGAAGGTGACCCTCTGACTGGACACCCACCCCACCATGGACACCGTGCTGGAGATGGGGCCGCCCGTCACTTCTGCACATGTAGCAGCTGGCCAAGACCCAGGCGGAGCGAGCACAGCTCCTGCAGCCGGTGCTGGAGGTCAACCCCAGGAATGCACTCATGAAGCTGAATCAGCTGCAGGTGAGCGAGCCTGGCCTGGCCCAGGCTGGTGGATCAGATATACGAGAATGCAGTGATAGCCGCTGGGCTCGTTGATGACCCCAGGGCCGTGGTGGGCTGCCTGAATGAGCTGCTTGTCCAGGCCCTGGAGCCACACTGACAACCAGAGGCCTCTGCCTGGGCAGGGGAAGAAGGATTGACACCATAGATGACAGCCCCACCTCCTTGAGCTTTATTTACCTAAATTAAAAGGTATTTCTTAAAAAAAAAAAAAAAAGAAAAAAGAAAAATGGGCTGGTCAGGATGGTTCATGTCTGTAATCCCAGACAGGGCAAATGGATTGCTTGAGGTCAGGAGTTCAAGACCAGCCTGTCCAACATGGCAAAACTCCATCTCTACTAAAAATACAAAAATTGGCCAGATATGGTGAGGGGCACCTGTAATCCCAGCTACTCAGGAGACTGAGGCAGGAGAATTGCTTGAACCCAGGAGGTGGAGGTTACCAAGATCACACCACTGCATTCCAGCCTGGGTGACAGATGAGACTTTGTCTCAAAAAAAAAAAAAAAAAACAAACAATGTACCACAATAGTAGTCATGTGGTATGGTAGTAGTAGTGTGATAAGGTAGTAATAGTATTGAAAGCATAGTAAGGGAGTAATAGTCCCCTCCTTTCCCCTCCCCTTCCCCTCCCCTCCCCTGTTGCCCATCAACCTCAGCCTCCCAGGTTCAAGCAATTCTCCTGCCTCAGCCTCCCAAGTAGCTGGGATTACAGGCGTGTGCCACCATGTCTGGCTAAGTTTCTGTATTTTTTTGTAGAGATGGGGTTTCGCCATGTTAATCAGGGTACACTTGAACTCCTGACCTCAGGTGTTCCACCCACCTTGGCTTCCCGAACTGTTGGGATTACAGGCGTGAGCCGCTGCACCCGGCCAATAATGCCTTTCTTATTAAAAGATACTTTGAAGAGGGTGCTTTAATCTTTGTCCCTATGATACATATCAAGAAAGTGAGATTCGGGGGATTAAATAACTCACCCAAGAATATCCAGCTAGCAAGTGGCAGAACCAGGGTTAGGACCCAGATCTGTCTGACTCCACAGCTAGATATCTTTATTATTCTGTTATTTTAATGCCTTCTTACAGAGAGGAGGAAACTGAGGCTCAGAGAAGCAAAGGACATTATTTATGGTCTCTCAGCTATGTCAGACTTGATGCTAACTAAGCATCATCTGACTTCTTGCCAGGACCTCTTCATAAATCTACTCCCTTAACAGAGTACTCATAAAATTTTTGATGTTATTTCTGACTGTAGAATGGTCACATCCCTTCTTGCTGACAGCAAAATTAGACTTCAAGTATAGAAATACTACTCTAGTCAATAAAAATCAAAAGGTTGATTCTTTCTCCAGACAGGGAAAACTGGGACAAGTGATTGGGAAGTACCCATTGCACCTGTTATGGCTGCGGCTTTTGCTTTGCTGTTATAAAGGTGAGGTGAGTCCTTTTAGTTTTGGTGAGACTTCATGTTATGAATCAGGCCTTGCCTGCTGTGTTCACCCTCTCATCATCATAGGGATATAATCTTCTTAGGCTACTAGCACCTGCCTATCCCTTCTTTTTTTTTGAGATGGAGTCTCACTCAGTTACCCAGGCTGGAGTGCAGTGGCGCGGTCTCTACCTCTGCTCACTGCAACCTCTGCCTCCTGGGTTCAAGCAATTCTCATGCCTCAACCTCCTGATAGCTGGGACCACAGGTACATGCCACTAGGCCCAGCTAATTTTTATAGTTTTAGTAGAGACATGGTTAAACCATGTTGGCCAGCTTGGTCTCGAACTCTTGACCTCAAGTGATCTGCTGGACTTGGCCTCCCAAAGTTCTGGGATTATAGGCGTGAGCCACTGTACCTGGCTTATCCCATCTTAATTTATCCAGATGGAATAGTTCTTTTGTTTGCTTCACTCCGTACACAGCATGTGTACCACTATGTGTATGTATCCTAAAACCTGAGCAGAAACCTCCATTAAAAATATTAAATATTGCCAGGCGTGGTGGCTCATGCCTGTAATCCCAGAACTATGGGAGGCTGCGGCAGGGATCATGAGTTCAGGAGACCAAGACCATTCTGGCTAACAGGGTGAAACTCCATTAGCCAGGTGTGGTATGTGCCTGTAGTCCTAGCTACTTGGGAGGCTGAGGCGGGAGAATGACTTGAACACGGGAGGTGAGGGTTGCAGTGAGTCTGGGCGACAGAGCAGGACTCCGTCTAAAAAAAAAAAAAACAAAAACATTAAATATTTCACCCCTCACTTTTGTCAATACTTTGGTGAACATGAATTCAGTTTGAACCTATGAGTCGGAGAGGAGAGCCAGTTTTCCTACTTCTCTGAGTGATTGTTTCTCTAATGCCAATCATCAGTGTGATAAATAATATTTACTTTAAAGTTGAGCTCTGATTTTGTGTGACAGTTTTTAGAAATTATGTAATTAAGCCTGCAGTCATTACTGATAGTTATTTAATTATTCCCTCTCTCTGAAGCAACTTATGTTTTTTCTTGGAACTTGGAGATAACAAATTAGCATCAAATATATACCCGAGGTTTTGAGAATATGCTTGCTAAGTCCATGATTGAATAAATAGAAGGCTCTGGGAACATAGTTTGTATTTGACAAATAGCCTAGACCTGTTTTCTGCCCTTGGGTTCTCGACATAGTAAGTTGCCTAGAGCCCTGTTTTAAATGTTCTTCCTTTGAAATACCATGGTAGACACCAACTTGTTGTTATGTTCCTATGCACATAGAAGTATGTGGTAAATTGACATATTTCTGAAGTTGAGATTGTGAGTAAAATGCCCAGTTACACAAGATCTGTGGCCACTTGGCATCAGCTGGGATCAGATGTCCCGAGGTGGCCTTGTGGAGGCCTGTGTTCAGGAGTGGGGGAAAGGGTGAGATAGGAGAAACTGGGCACCACTCTTTCATCTTGTGATCGTAGTGTGTGAGTGATCAAGGAAGAGGTGGAGTAGCCTGAATCATGTGGGTATGGGCTAATCCATGCCTAGAGCAAAAAGCCAAAGAGGGAACCCAAGATTTGATGTAGCACATCAAAGGCTCAACAGGGCAATGTGTACCTGTGAGGAAATCAGAGAGGCACAAGAGCTCCATCTTTTATGTACAGAAAAAAACAAAAGGGTAGAGAAGTAGACCTTTGACTGAGGAAGAGCTGTGTGCTGAAAAGTCCCCTCTCACCTCCTGCTGCCACAGCACCTCCTTGCCAGCACCTCTGCAAACCCTCTCTGGACATGTTTTCTTTTTGTTTGTTTGTTTTAGAGACGGAGTCTCGCTCTGTCACCCAGGCTAGAGTGCAAAGGCATGATCTTGGCTCACTGCAGCCTCCACCTCCCGGGTTCAAGTTATTCTTCTGCCTCAGCCGCCTGAATAGCTGGTACTACAGGTGTATGCCACCATGCCCAGCTAATGTTTGTATTTTTAGTAGAGACAGAGTTTCACCATGTTGGCCAGGATGGCCTCGATCTCTTGACCTCATGATCTGCTGCCTTGGCCTCCCAAAGTGCTGGGATCACAGGCATGAGCTACCATGCCGGGTCTCTCTGGACACGTTTTAAAGTGATATTGAATAAACTGGCATTACTGAGTTGATATATGATTAATCAAATAGCTTAATATTAATAAACTTGGTTCTATTCCCTGGGTGTTTACTGAATGAAAGATACCTAGCATTTGTCTTGCTGGTGTGTTTTGTTTTTGCTTGTATAGTGATTTTGGGTTTTGAGTTATAGGCACTCTCCTTTGATGCTGCACATGGTCAGAAATCAACCCTGCTTCTGGCTTTATCAGTGAGTCTGTTAAGCTTATCAACTCTACCAACTTGCCTTTTCACTGGGTCCCCATAAAGCTCTGCTTATCCTCATCATAACCTGAACATATTATACTAAAGTCATTTGTTTACTTATTTATTTCCTACTCTGGACTGCATTCTTTGAAAGTAGAAATGATATTACTGCATCCTCTAGTTTCAAGCACAGGGCATGGCAATAATTAGTGTTTCATAAATGTTTGTTGACTATAAATTGGATCTAAGTATAAATGAGGAAATCTTAAAAATCTAGGAATTTTATTTAGTTTTGAGTGCTCAAAATTTTTCTCATGGCCGGGTGTGGTGGCTCATGCCTGTAATCCTAGCATTTTGGAAGGCTGAGGCAGGCGGATCACGAGGTCAGGAGTTTGAGACCAACCTGGCCAACATGGTGAAACCCCATCTCTACAAAAAATACAA